TGTCTGTCGAAGTCTGGCCGGTCCCCAAGGACCTGGGGCCAACGAAGCAGAGCAGGTGGAGGGAGGGGAGACACGGGGTGAGGTGAGGGCTCGTATCCTTGGACAGGTACAGGAATGCCCAGTGGGCAGTCTTCCAGCGCACACTCACACTTTCACACACTCACATTTCTCTTCCTGTTTTCTCGATAATTCCACCATTTGGTCTGTTTAAGAACCGCGTCGAGCTGTTGCTGATTCGAAACTGTTGTTTGACCCCGTTTCCTTTGAGAAGTTAGAGAAATATGCAGCGTGTTTGCGTTGCGGGAAACCCCCCACTTCCAGGTGACAGACATATACACATTCTGTCGCACACAGAGCAGCAGATGAAGAGGACGGCGACAAAGGAACCAAAACAGAGGTCAGCTCTGTTTGACTTGGTTCTCAACTGTACTTCCTATTTCTCTCTGTGCTGCTACAGGAGACACAAGCAGACACACACACTCCCACAGCCACGGTGCTGCACTGACACAGGGTTCATGGCAGTGTGAATAGGCCTCTGGGCTCACATGAGAAAATACAGCTAATTGATTCAAGCAGCTACGATACATATGTTGTCGGAGACCTCAAGATATTGTTGTTGCCAAGAAATGCACCCGAGTCTCAGCTTTGTTTTCTGTTGACTTTGCCACTTTTTGCGTTGCATTATTTGATTTATGTTTTTGCTCAGCTTTTGTAAAAAATCTTTAAATACAACTTTTCCATGTTGTAATTATAGTGTTTGCCTCACCAGCTACTCTGGAGTTGCTGGTTTAAGTGCATCTGTGGAACAAGGGTAGTTATGTTTCCCTGTGTAGTTTGACATGCTGTAAACCTGCTGATACAAATAGACTTTTAGTATCACTCAGGGTTACACAAAACGTGGTGGTGAAATATTTTCAACCCACAGAGAAACATGAAAACGCCACAGACGGTCATCGTGGATGGCTTTTATTCATCTGTTTATTATTCTGTCATTTAGGGCCACAAGTAATAAATTATTTAAATGAATTGATGGATCATTCAGATTTAATATGACTGTTAATAGTGAAAACTGTCCATCACAGTTTTACAAAACCTTAAGTTGTGTCTTTATATGTCAAATGTTGTCGGACTAACTAAAAAATATATTCTTTTTGTTGCTGTAATATAAAACGATGTTTTTACTTAGTTGAAGCTGACACCAGCAAATGTTTGCCTTCTTTTGTCTTTGTTAAATGACTTTAACAATTAATCAACAACAATCTGGAATACATTTTCCATCACTGAACAACTTGAAATGTTTCAGCCCTCCTCAGAGATCACATCTCCACTTCGTCCAACTATCCAGAAATGAAGCCAAAATATCTGGAATACAAACGCTGATGCCAATCACGCCATTTGGAACCAGAATCAAATCATTTTCAAATATATAAATTACAACCAAAAGTAGCAGAAAAATGAACACGTAAACAGCAGAAATCTGTCTGCTGCTAAATTAATGAGTTGATTCATGTGAGTAATTAGTTGTTGTTTATTCTTTATTCTCTTTCTTTTAGTAGCTATTGTTCTCCAGACTCCTTAAATTATTTCATGATCACGGAGTCACTTCAGAGATGAAGTCAGAACGTAAACATCCGCCTTCTTGTGCTCGGTGGCTGAGCTCCGAGTGTTTCCACTGTAAATCCTGCAGCCACACACACACACACACACACACACACACACA